GGGGGATAAATTTTACTGTAACATTCGTCAGATGAAATGTCAGTGCAGTATTTCTTGGGATCTATATTTCCCAGGAAATATAATTTAGACACTTTAGCTTCATTGTAATTGCTGAAGGAAACATAAATCATACTTACAAAAATCATGATTTTTTTCTGTTTATTAGATATAAAGTATTTGTTTATGTCAACGATATAATATTATATTACATATACTCACATAAAGGAATGTTGTTTAGTTCTCCGAGGATTTTCACAAATAAATCTTGTCAAATCTTTATAAGACCTATAGGATTAGAATTATTATCAGTGTCTTCATTGTATAAATGAAGAAGCAGATTCAGAGGGTGCTATTTTCTTGGGCAGCACAGCTACTAATTATAATAGCCAGGAATTGGTTTCAGGCCACTGGATTTAAAGACTCTCTCCTCTTTTCACTGTCATATCCCTTCTTCAAACATAGAGTAGAACCATATACAATAGCTATGAGATCAATAGTTAGATATGTAGAATATAAGCCAGGCATCTCTAGAAAACATTATAAAATGCTCTACTAAAATTGCATACCAAATTTAGAACTGCTTTTCATTTTTAAGCTTTTTTCCCCCTGAGTTCTCTACCTGTTAACAGGAAAGGGTATCTTTCAAATTTAAATCAATTCAACTTAGATATTTGTAAAGAAAAAACAAAACTTCTTTAAGCAAAATTTTTTTTCTCTCTCTACACACATACACACACACAGACATACACATATTTGAAAATACTTAAAAATATTTTTTTATTTTTGCTGGTAGCCTGATTGTATGTTTGTTTAAAATGTATTGTGGAAAAAATATATATTTCATATATATTGTCTTATGTCTGATTTGAAGATTTGAAGAGCTAGTACAGAATAGTAGGTGGTTGCTAATTTATCTTCCATAAAACGTGAGAAATATTCAGAGATATTTCAATACAATTCTGTAAATAAGAATTTCCTGATAAGGAGGGTTGATTGCTACTGAACTCTCAAAAGAGGTTGTGGAATTTCATTTTCTGGGATATTTAATTCATGTGGTTTAGGTGTAACCCTATGTGGGAGCAGGACTATGAACGGAATAGTCAAGTGACTCTAATATTTTGAGATTGTAGCAATTATCCTCCAGGTTGATCTGAATAATCATTGTTATTTAGAAATTGCAAAAGAAGCAGATCTATTTTTCCTTCTCTCACAAAAACACAAAAGTGGAAATATTTTTTGATTTTTAAAACTTCCGTGAACACTGTGCTATCATAACTAAAGTAGTAGTGAGAGAGCAGCTAGTGGGTGGGAACAGGAAACATTAGTGATAAATGCTCTGTGACATTTTTTTTTTCAGGTTCAGCTCAATGTATATTGATTCTAATTAGCACATTTTGTGCCTTAGCTAGTAGCTCCCCGTTAGCTCTGCCTAGAGAGGTTTTTTTTTTTTTAGATTCCATCCTGCTCATAAACACTGCCACCTCCTCCCTCCTTCTCTCTTTACAAATGTTACAACACAATCAGAAATTTCCTCTTTTCTTTCCTTCCTGCATTTTCAGCAGGTTCCCTTGCGTCAGAAGCCGAGGAGGAAAACTCAAGGTAATTAGATCTCTTTTGTTTCCTTATCTCCTTTTTGTGTGCGTTGAGTGTGGCTTTCCTCCGGGATGCCTTCCTTGGGATCAGATTTTTGTCTCTTAATGCTAATATGAGGAGGTGGACGGCAGATTAATGTTTGGTTATTGTTGAATTGATTTTAAGAAATGACGACATGCTGTTCATTTGGATTAATCCCTCGTGGTATGTCGAAAGAGCTTAGAAAAACTGGCAGTGAGTCGGGAAGTAGCTGTGTTTTGAGGTGGGCATTAACCCTTCAACATCTATTGCATAACTACGGCTGTTATTGTTGAGAGGAGCGATGTTACTGCACTGATATGCCTGCCGGCCTTACGATTTTAATTATTTTCAACTTATTCTTGGTGAATACTATTCTTAGACTAATACTTGCATATCAGCCCTGCTGCGCTGTTTTTTTGGCTGTATCTTATACCTTCTAAGCATCAAACGAATGTTTAAAAATAAAAACAGACACATGGCTTTTTTTTTGCATTGGTTTTGCGTAGGCTTTGCATAAATCTTGGTGAAAAATCCAACTCCCTCGGGGGTTAACAATTAAAAGTTGCCTTTCACTCTGTCACATAAATCAGGATAATACTTTACCTACCAAATCAGGGTAATACTTTACCTCTTCATGTAATCATTGCAGGTTTTCTCACGATGAGTCGGAGGAGGATATCGTGTAAAGATCTGGGCCATGCTGACTGCCAAGGGTGGCTGTATAAGAAAAAGGAAAAGGGAAGTTTCCTAAGCAACAAATGGAAAAAGTTCTGGGTGATACTGAAGGGGTCGTCACTGTACTGGTATAGCAATCAAATGGTGAGTCTGCTTTCTTCCTCCTGTTCCCAGCCATTTTAATGAGGGGCACGTTAAAGGGATCAGGTGATCCCTATGGGAAAGTTAATTTTGATTTCTGGGAATTGGAGCTGAGTAAATAAACAAATAAGTTATAGAAGCCATTTCTGGTCCAGTAGATACGTAGGTTATGCTATTGTGTTTTATGGAGAAGAAACCCATCCTGTTTGACTACTCTGGTTGGGGAGGAAGGGAGTGTCGACATTTACATCCTTGCTAAAGGAGACTTTTAAATTCTGTTATAATGTTACTATTCCACGAGGGATTGTAATAGTTTCAGGATTTATGTGGGCATCATGTAACATGGCACCTTTACATAGTTAAGGTCTCTCTACTAAAAGGAGACTCAGCTTCACGACCTACAAGGGTATCAATTGATTCAGTTCAGAGAAGCTTTTTCAATTTCTCCTCCTTTACTTTCTTCTTCCCCTTCTTTCCCCCTGACCTGCTTTATCAGATGGGTTGCTTTGGAATCACTAACCCCTATGCCAGCTTTGCATTGGCGACGGTCACCTCTTGTCCCCTGGTGTGCTCTGTAATGGCATTAAACTAGTCGTGCTCAGACAACATTTGAAAAGATAATTGCCTAGTTTATTCCTTAAAAAGTCAGTAGACTGTTGTGATCTGCTTCCCAGGCTAGTTTTCTGTTGAAAATGGCTGGAAATAAAGTGATTGTTAGAAAGCGTGCTGCTCTTTCATGATCTGAATCCTGTTGAAAATGACGATGTTGTTGAACGTCGAATGAGGAGGCATTTCCAAGGAGGAATGCTCTCCACGAGCCCTGGTGAGGTTTGACTGCTGCTCTCAGGACAGTGAGAGTCTCTTTGTGGCACTGTGGAGATCAGCATTGGATGGCCTTTAATCAATTAAGGGAAAAGTACTTAGGAGTTGCTTATAAGCCAGGAAAGTTCTTTTTATGTGACATTCTTCTTGTGAAATGACGTGGGCATGCCTGTCATTCAAGCAACAGAGCTGTACATCATGTAACTTTATACATGCAAAATAAGTACTGCATATGGTTTGTGGGCCAAATTTTTAGTTGATGCATTTACATTCACTAGCCACTAATCAATTTTTGTTACTCACATACCCCCCTGGGCACCTGTTCATTAAAGATTTGGTTAAACCAGACCCAAATCCAATTCCAGTGCTGGGAATAAGCACACTCCTCTGCTCCTCTGCCCCCAAACTTATTGCCTCAGCTTCACCTCATGAAAAATGTGGCACAAAGCTCCTCTTTGGGTTCCGTAAAAATATATATATTTTTTCAAGCATTTGGTGAGTTATAACAACTTTATCAAAGTTGTAAGGGATTCACAAAAAGTCACTGGCAGAGTGTGCGGTTTTCCACTGGCATCCTTTTTCTCTCTTTTCTTCTCCCCTCCTCAATACATTTTTCGTCTTGTCTAGCATGAATGGTTTTTCCCAAATTAAGGCAACCTGGGTCTGCGGTCTTGCCTTCTATTGTAAGAGAGTTTTCCTAAGCAAATACAGCTTCCTTCTTAAGAGGAACTCAGGTTAATATAAATGTCTCTTTCTTGTTTCGTATTATTTCAGGCCCCTGTTTTGGGGTAGTTGTGGCAAGCGATTGTCCTCTTCATCTTTTATAACATGAGAGAACCTACTGATTTACCTTTTAATAGTGGTCAGGGCATTTCCAGAGCTTGTTGGAAAGATTGGGTGCTGATGGAGCTTGGCATGTCTGTGGGAAGTAATAAAGCTTGGACAGAAGCAAGCCGTTCATCTTCTCAGGGAATGAAATTATTCAGCAAATATGTTCTGTCTGCTGTCCCTGTCTTCACAGAATTTAAAGGAAGTCCTTCTGAACCACACAGGCTTCCAGATTGGGTTGGCTTGGCCTCATCAGCTCATTCAGCTTATGATTCTCTTAGAGGAGCCTATTTTAGGCATTAGGAACTTCATGCTTCCACAAGGAGCAGCAGTGTTGACAGACTAGGCTAGAAAGAGGAAAGGGATAGAGCCTTAGATACACTCACGCATTCCTGCCCTGGCTTGCTTTCATGGCAACACAGAAAGAAATATTCAGGTTGCAAAGCATGTACTTGAATACAGTTAGGTTAGCAGCATTGAATGGAGAATAAGCCTGCCATTATCTGGCTAGGGAACTGTAGGATTAAACTAATGGTATGCAAACTAATGGTTATAAAACTAATGGCATGTAGAGGAATTCTCTTTCTCTCTTCCTCCACCACAAACACACACATACATAGACACACATACACACACAACACACACACACACACACACCCCCTGAATCTTAATTATATGTTTATTGTGGGGGAAAAAAGGCTACTCAATGAATACTTAATTAGTAGTCATATTCCTCTTGTCTGTGTGGATATCAACTATGAAATAAGCCAAGAAGCTTTATTTACTTTCTGCTGCTTAAAAGAATTCAGATTCAACAAAGTCGCTCTCAAAGCACCTAAGCCTAAGCACCTAAGAGCAGAATTCTCATTCTACCTTCCATGTTCCTTAACCTGGGGTTACAACCAGCCCCGTCCCTACACGTTCTTGTATAACCTAATGCTGAGAGGTAGCAGAGTCCATAGCATCTGAGGAAGAGCCACCTGTTACTTAGTGCCTACCCTAGGCCAAGGGATAGATGATTCAAGGTACCTTGCATATATGCTCTCATTCACCCTGAGAGGTAGTAATTGTCTCCACATTTTGAAAGTGGGATAGACTGAAATGCAGAGAGATTGCGTCAATTGTCCCAAGTCACACGGGAGTAAAGGGAAAAAAACAGATTCACATTTAGGTCCCTCGGACTCCTAGGCCCATGACTTACAGCATACCAACCCGACTCCCTCTGGCGCCAGGATCCATGACACAATTAAGACCACCCTGTTTTCTGCCTTCAACGGGGTTCTGAGAGAACAGCTGTAGAAATGAAATTTAGGGTAATTCTCCTTTGAAACTACATGTGATCTCATTGTCATTGACTCTCTTTGCTTGTCTCCTCTATCATTCCCTGACACTGCCTGGGAACACCAGCCTCGCCTCTCTTCTGTTTTGTGCTGTTGTTACCCAGTCACCTGATGCATGGTCTACCTTTTGCTTTCACCACACGTTGCTGCTTCAAACTGTACTACCCAGAATTCATTGAGAAAGGTCAAGTCCAGAGGCTCATCTGCCATTTTTCACACCACATGCTATGTGCTTAGAGTGTGACGCAGCACACAAGATTACTCGCCAAGTCCTACAAAACCATATGCAAGTTTAACAGTCGTAGAAATCCAGGCTGGTAAAATCTTGGATTTAAAATCCACGGTTTTGTTTTCCCATACCCTTACGAGAAAGTACAAACTCACTTTCTGGTTTGTGGGAATCACCTTAACTAGTAACCTTTCTTACTTCCTCACACTTGTCTGCCCAACTCATTTAAAGATGGCACTTCTTTCAATTCCTGTTAGCACGTGGGCTGGCTTTCTCTAAGCCTTCGCATATGCTGTTTCTCTGCTCAGAAAACTCTGTCTCCATGCCCTGAAGTCTTTCTCCTATCCAATTCCATCAAGCTTATCCCTCCTTCTAGGTCAAATTTTAGCTTAAATAGCCTTCTTCTAGAGGCACGTACCTTCTCCCCTGACCTAAATTTTACTTCCTCTCTCTGCTCCCTGAGTGAGCTATACTTTTCTTTTCTTTCTTTCTTTCTTTCTTTTTTTTTTTGAGACAGAGTCTTGCTTTGTTGCCCAGGCTGGAGTACAATGGTGTTATCTCGGCTCACTGCAACCTCTGCCTCCCAGTTTCAAGCGATTCTCATGCCTCAGCCTCCTTGAGTAGTTGAGATTACAGGCATGGGCCACCATGTCCGGCTAATTTTTGTATTTTTAGTAGAGACAAGGTTTCACCATGTTGGCCAGGCTGGTCTTGAACTCTGGACCTCAAGTGATCCACCTGTCTTGGCTGGGATTACAGGTGTGAGCCACCTCGCCTGGCCTATACTTTTCATACTATCATACTTGTCCTCATTTTTGGGTACTTGCTTGTCAGACTTGCTGTTTTCCATAAGTGATCATTTCTGTAGGACAAGATCATGGGTATATCTTCAGCAGCTTACTCCGTGTCTGACAGTTAATAGGCTCTCAATTAATAGTTCTTGATTTCATATATAAATAAGAATTAAGAATCTCTAGCATTTACATTGCCCATGGGAATTTCGAGAAATGGAGTCATGTGTGAGGACTGATTTTGACAGAAAATAATTTTCCAGGAAAGGATTTCCACCTCTGTTTTTAAAAACAGATACGGGAAAAGGAGCAATCTGAATTTGCTAGAAAGGCCCCAAGGTTCGGATTAGGTCCTGCTACAGCCGTTCCCATTTTGGTAACACATTTTTAGGATCTTTGAGGAGTAGAGGTGGGAGACGCGCATTCTGGGGACTAATGTGAACAAAGGAATGAAAATATAAATGAGCTGTGCCAATCCACTGTGTTAGTGATTATATTGAATTCTCATAATAGCCGAGCAAGATAGATTTTATTATTCCCATTTTTCAAGGGAGTTTACTGAAGCTCAGGGAATTTAAGTAACTTGCTCAAAGTCTCATAAAGAGTAAATACAGAGCTGGGATTTGAAACAAAGGTTTCCCAACAACAAAGCCAGGCTCTTTTCTCCAGGCTGCACGGCTTCTCCATTTAGAGGTGACTTAGGGCCAGTGAATGGGGGACTGAGACACGTAGTGATAGTGTAGGAATGTAGGTTTGATCCAGCAGGCAGTAGGGAGCTACTGCCTATTCTTGAGCCGGAAGGTGAGCACGTGAAATTGGCATGTGAAAAATATGAACCTAGCAGCAATAAACTGGATATTTTGGAGAGTGAGGGAGCTGCCAGAAGGCCAGTTAGGAGATGGTGAGAAAATGCAGGCGTTCAGACATGAGCTCCGGGACTAGAGTGCGGCCAACGGTGAGAATTTAGTACACACTATGCAAATAAAAAGGGGC